TTTTTATTAATTTAAAGGTGAGAATCTAAAAATTTATGAAACCAAGGGTAAAACTTAGGGTCCGTTTGATACTAGATTGAAAAAACATTCTAGTTTTTCCAATAAAGTTAAACAGTAAATTGGTCTTTGGTTCTCTTATCTATATTATTTAATTTATTTAAACCCCCTAAATTTATTAATTTAACTAAATACCCCAATTTTTTTTTTTTTTTTTAATAGACAAAAACACCCCAACAACCCACATTTACCAGATTCCAGTACCACTACTGAAGCTAGCCAGAATCTGTATAATGGTAACACTACTAGTGGATCTGGCCGTAGTGCGCTGATCTGGCTTTTCCGGCCAGATCCACGATGGATATGGCCGAAAAAGGTTAGATTTACAGCAAAGATCTAGTTGTTGACGGCCAGATCTTTAGCCGTAGCTAGTCGTCAACGAAGCCAGGATATGGTCGTCGTTGACCACCAAATGCGGCCAATTTTGTCATCAATGGCCAGATCTACCGTAAATCTAGCATTTTCTGACCAATCCACCGGTTGATTTGGCTAAAAATGACATATCAGTGCATGACCGGCCAATCTAGCCGGTTGTGCGTCGATACGATGACTCGGCCACACTCCGCGTGTGCCAGGGTTGCGGATAATGTTGGGGTGTGTTTGGGTTGTTTTGTTTGTTGTTTTTGTAATTTAATAGGGATAAATGGTATAGTAAAAAACAAAAAGGATAATGAATTTCAATCCTACGTAATATTCACCAACTTTTTATTTGTAAAATTAAAAAAGTACCAGAAAATAAACCAAAAGGCCTTCCATCCATCAAACTTAAGTGGGAATACGTGGTCACTCTTCGTAACCATCCGGAACTGGTTCCCATTTAGTTGCAATTGGTGGGTCCAAAACCGGTCATATTAGAAATAATTCCTCTCGACATCAATTGAAGAGAAATTCGTGGAGGACAAGACTTTCGGATAGTCCAATACGACATAACCACTTTCGCTATCGGAAAAAAAAAAAGACTAATTACAAATTGCCATGTTTATTTTTTACAATAATGCTATACATATAAAATAACATTAAAATTTCAATTCTAAGGATATATTTCAAGTAATGTGATAGTTAATTTGATAATGTATACACTTATCTATCATTTTTATTTTATATTAAAGGTGATTCTATCAAATTAAGTGCAAAATTGAAAATTAATCAGTTTTGTCAATACATATTATTGTTATATTAATGGAGACTGATTTATTTTTTTAACGTATGTGATGCATTGATGCCCATTAAGACTGGGTCAAAATTGGGCAGATTCAGGAAGAATTGGATTGCTAAAAAAGGAGCCCACATTGGAAATCATTATCCTTGGGATTGCTAAAAAGGAGCTCACATTGGAATCATTATCCTGTTGAGTTGTTTATGGATAGTATTTTATAGAAGAGTCCATCAACTCTTTTCTTCTTTAATTTAACCATTAAATATTCATAAATGAAATTATCTATTTTCAACTCTTTAATTTGTTTCTCTTTCCATTTGTCACACTCAAATTTGGTTGATGTGGTTAGAGAATAGAGATGGTAAAGTCTGGATCTGATAGGAAAAACCGAAGTGCCGGGAGATTTTTGTCGCCGCAGGTAATGAATCTCATGCTCCGCGGCTTCCTCATTCCTCCTTGCTTCAACCTCACATCTCTTCGAACCATTTCTTGCTTTTCATCTCTCCAACACATGAATCTAACATATCAAATTGGGCTTAAGGCTTATTCGACGATAACGAAAGAGATGGAGCATGTGTAGAGACTACAAGTTTCCTACCTATTCAAACTATTTTCGAACTTTAAAAACATGTTTATAATCAATCAACGCTTAAATAATAACAAAAAAAAAATTAGATCACTACAGTTTGGAAATGATTTGGTGAAATTGGACAAGCCCTTACACGCTACTTTGCTTGTGTCACATTAGGCCACCGCGTGGTCCGCGACCAAGGCATGAAGGTCAAGATCACTACAGTTTCTGGCAGCGGCCCTTCAACCCCATCGGCAGTTCATCTTCGTCTACGCCTTCAACTTCCTCGAAACTGCTTCAACTTCCGGGGCCTCTGCTATCACTCCATTTGCTTCCATTGTTGCGTTACTGGGCATCAGTTTGGTTTATATGTTAAAATTGAGGGGTTAAATTATAGTCACATTTTATTTGTTCTATGCTTAAAGACAAGTGATAAAAATAATCCTTTGTTTGATCATTGATTTTATTGAAATATATTGGCCAGATAATTTTGTGTCCAGCTTCGTTTTGGGTTATTTTTCTAATCGATATTAACTTATTGATTGAAGTGGCCCACTTCTTTGGTATCAATAATTTCTTAAAATTCATTAGATTTTCAATAAGGGTGCTTGTGTGATTTTACACAAAAAGAAAGGGTTTTGAGGTAGCTTAAAAAACAAAGGATGTTTGTGACTCCTTTTGAACATCCTTTTTGATCTAGTGATTCTTTTTACTAATTTATTGAAGTGCGTTGGTTCGGAGATGTTGTATTACTAAGAATGTTATATTAATGGATAAATAGATTAACTTGAATATTATTAAATATTTAAAAATATGTTTGGTTGGTGGAATAAATTGGTGATATGTTATATTAATATGTTTGGTTGGAAGGAATAAATTGGTGTATGTTATTTAAATTACTAAATTGCCCTCTTTTTAAATATTAATATTATTATTTTTATTATTATTTTTTTATCATTTCTTTTAACCCCCACATTCACATTTGGTTAAAACACCTAGCCAACAAAAAAGTTTAAAACTTAACAAAAACACTCTCACCCACCTCAAGCCACTGCTGAGGCGGTGACAATGGTCGTAATGGGGCATGACAGCCAGATCTGGCCAACCGTGCATCGAATGGCCAACTTTGGTAGGACACCACAAAATCGTGCAAGACTGGTTAGATCTGACCAGTCATGCACTATTCTAAACGTCGACCCGCGACTATTTGGCCCCCCTATTAGGTAATTTTTTTTTAAAGTTCACAGGGTATTTATGTCCTAAAATTTTTGTATAAGGATAAAATAGTCCATAAATTTTTGTAAATTGTTTTCAAAATAAGGGTTAATGTCCAAAATTTTAATAGTTAGGGTAATTTGTAACAAAAATAAGATTACTAAGTAATCTTAAATATTTAAGAAAATGGAAGTAATCAATTACCTCTTATATTACCAATAGTAATTACTATTGTGTTTTGGAAGATTACTAGAATTTTTATGTTATTTGACAGCCATAAGTGATAATCAAGTAATACAAGATGACATTATCTCAATACATTAAGATTACCCCAACAAAACCACCACCGTGAAAGTACACCACCTATATTATGGGTTAGTGTTTGGAAGTTCCACCATCTGTATTAGAAGGATATTTCAATACCAATTGGTATCAAATTCAGATGAAATAAAATCCACAGTGGTTATATCTTTACACTTGTGGAGTTGTCGTGTCATGAAAATTCTTCCAAACAAACTTGCATAGCTCGGTCTACCATGGTCCTAAGCTTATCGCCTTAGAAATGCATGTGTTCTGAGGCTGAGTGGTTATGGAATCTCTTAGTAGATCTTCCCATTGAAACTCACCCTCCTGTTTCAGTATCAATCTATTGTGATTGTTGGCTGCAATAGCAAGAGCAAAGAACAAAATTTATAATGAGAAATAGACATATCTGGATAGACATATGATTATAAAGCAGTTGCTAAATCTGGGATAGTGGCCTTGACTTTGTGAAGTCAAAGTTAAATTTGGCCGATGGCCAATCCTCTAACTAACCACTAAGTAGGATGTTAGTGAATACATGTCCGTGATGGGAATTATTTCTAAAGCATAAGGCAAGAATGATGATAGCCCTCGCCTATGTGATTGGGATCCCATGAAGTAGGTTCATAAGGGTAATACAACATCTTTTGTCTTGATAAGTATTATCAATTTTATATTTATAGAAAAGTTCTCCCTATGGTGAGATATACTGATTGTAGTGAATAGATCGAGTAAAATCACTCTTAATGAAATCCCATAGCCAACATAAAATGATGGTGGGGAAAAAGCTGCAATTCACACCCTATGGAAATTCACCTATGTGAGTGTACAATTTGGGTCCTATTCCTATGAGAACTTAGGCAGCATCACTAGAGCATTCATGAAATCTAGATAGGCACAAGGCTATAAAGTGCGAAACCGCAAATAGTATATAATGCAGAAAATTTAGTGTGATGAAATTAAGCCTTTGAATTCATAAAGAAATTTTGGTTCATAGAAACTTAGTTTCACACCAATTTATGTAATTCAAGTTTAGTTACTTAGTGACTGATTCATAGTTTAAAGATACCGATTATAAATATTAAATTCCTAATCAGTGATGATTTGTTATTTGAAATGTGTGGGAGATTGTTATAATAGTATTCAAAATACAAACAGGTGGCAGTTTCACGTGTGGCTGTTACTTTTAATTTAATATGTGACAGTTTCAAAGTAATTGGAGCTATTATATATTAATAAATCGTAGTAATGAGCTGTTACTATTAATTATTTGGAGAGTAACATCATTAAGAATACACTTCAATTATTTTGGCTCCCATTTTCATATTTTGTTAAACACTTTTTAAACTCTTATCTTTTATAATCATCATTGCTTAGTTACGTTCTCTATTACTGTTTTTAAACCTTGTTAAGTGTGTCACTCTAAACGGAGGTTTGTAATTTAATCCTGAAGTTAGTCTGTTGTTGAGCATTTTTGTGCCCCAAAGATTCTTCCAGTAGGAGCAGAATTCTGATCTTCAGGATAGTGCTTTTGCACGCTTGACGTTGCTGTTTTGCTAATGTTTAGTTGCTATTTTGCTGCTGTTTTTTCCTACGTTTTTTCTGCTATTTGCTACTGTTTTTCTGCTGTCTTGCTGCTGTTTATAGGTTTTTGTAATAAGTCCAACAAATCACCTACTAGGGACAATGTAAATGAACCTTGCGAACCTGATGAAGTCGGTAGATGTGCGCAGCTCTTATAAACAATTCTTCTCCTCTGGACACAGCGGCGTAAACTGCAACAATAAGAAGAATGAGATGCCCAGGCTCTCATAGAAGCAAATCTTCATTATAGTCAATGTAGGGTTAAGATTTACAATAAAGAAACTGGAGATCTGAAAAACCTGCCAGGAAATCAGGAGTGTTTGTCATTTCTTTTCTCTTTTCTCTCCTATAAACAACTCACAGTGTAATAGGAATTAATCCTTGTAAATTAGTCTTTACTATCTGCTAGTGTGTCAAGCGTGTTACTATATCCAATACAATATGTTTAAATACTTTGATAGGATGTTTGATTTGGGGGTGAGTTGTGTGACCTGAATTACACAACACTTTTGTGTAATATGACAGTAATGCTTCAAAATAGGGTGGCGTATAATTTAATAAAGCACCAAATAAGATGACAAATTAATGTAATAATTGAGACCACTTAAATTTTTTGAAAGAAGAAAATCAGAAATACTATGCGCGTCCATCGATAATGTTAGAATATATATGACTTAGGATGAAAATTTCAATTATAAAGATTAAAAGATATAAAAAGACATTAGTTAAAAGATGAAAATTTGAGAAGTTTAATATTTTTCATTTAATTTTATATAAAGGTATAAAACATATGGACCGCTATGTTGACTGTATAAAAATAATAATGTTTTAATTTTAAACAACAAAATAAAGTAAATGGAAAAAAAAAAAAAAAAGAGAACATAGATTTATTTCAACAACTTGATTATTTTATTACAGGGAAATTCAACCAAATATTTGTACATCCCAAAGCTCGTTGGAGGTCAGCATCAAGATCATTACGATAAACAGTGCCTTCAAATCCACGTAATAATGAATCACCCATAGGTAAAGTGAGAGGTATTAGTAAGACATCACGTGCAATTTTAGCCAGTGTTGGATAAGTTCGAGATTCGACACGCCACCAATCTAATATATTAAATGCTTCACTTGGAGGACATTTAGAATCTTTCAAATAGCGAACCAGTTCTGGTTCTGATGTAGCAATACCATTGTTAGAGCTCTCTGCATATTTATTGTACATTTCTGTGACATCATCACTGATTTTATTAAGATATTCATTTGCATCTTCACCATAAATCTTTTCGTAAAAATGTTTCACAATATCCATTTTGAATCACGGATCCAAAATTACTGTAATCACTAAAACCAAATTAGAATTGTTCCAATATTCCTCCAATTCTTCCCGCCACTCTGATGCAAAGCTGAAAATTGGGAAATACACATTTGCGGTTTTATTTGTAGGATCTAAGAATTGTCTATTAAAGTTATCAACATTTTCTTCCAAGTCATTGAACACTTTCCAACAGTTGTACATCAAAGTTGCATCGTCCCACTCCTTTTCTATAAAATTTATAGACTTCAAATCAGGATATATATCCTTCAGTACACTAAATGCTTCTTTACATTCCAGTACCCACTCAAGCATACTAAATGCTTCTTTCAATTCCCGTACACACTCTCGCTTCTTATTATTTAATATACAACTTGTTTTAAAATATGAAACTTCAATTGAACCATTTGAATCTGACATAGAAAATGTTGATATTTAATATAGAATTTTCTTTTCATACTGGTTCACACGTATTTGATATTACCAACCAATAGCTATTGGACTTAAATTTTGATTAAACAACTGCTCAAACATATTCTTTCAAGAAAAGGCTAAATATTTGCACAATTAAGTCTCATCTGTATCAACATCGTTCCTATCAGTGTACAATATATACACCCTTGAATTGTGTACTCCCAAGTATTTTTATCATTTAAAAAAAGATTGGGGATTTTTATATTTTTGGGCTAACGTCCCAACAAGGACCTACCCCCCAGCCTAAAATAGGTAGGAAATAAAATTAATTCTCGTTCATACATGGGCTTTTCTACTGAAAAATGACCAATTTCAAATAGGTTTATTGCTTCCGCCCAAAATATGATTAATCCGCATGGGCTACGTGAGCCTCCAACAGTTTATCTAAGCCTATTCAGATGAAATGCTGGATCATTTGATTTGATTCGATTCCAGGTTGCTCTCATATATTAAAGTTCCAATATATATAATTATGAAAAAAGTTTAGAGTATATTATTTTTCGAATTTGCCCCTTCCCCTGAATTCCTACCTCTTCACAATATTTTTTTCTATTTTAATTTACTCCAAAATCAGAGGTAGATCTAGCCCCTATGAGAGAAGGCCTCATATATATATATATTTTTTTAAATTACTATTATATAGGCCCCAAAAAAATGCTATTAATATATATACTTAGGTTTACCCTCAAATTTTTTTAAAATGAGAACTATTATACATATATCTAAGCTCACAAAAAAACTTTTTATTAATATATATATTTCAATCCCACATCTTGTTAAAAGTTTAAAACTCTCTCAACTCTTCTTCTCCATAACTCCACGTGTTTTTTTATGACTTTATCTCAAAAATTCTTTACTCTTTCATTTTTTTTCTTATGGTATTTGCTCTTAAAGTTTTTGAAGACTAAAATTGTTGAAGTTTTCCTTACTCAAGGTGCCACAATTAACTTCGTTTTCTATTTTATTATTTCTAAATATATGTATTGCTCATTTCAATTTAATTCATTTTAGGGTTAAATCATACTTTTTTTTTTTTCTTTTTTGAGATTTTTATTATAATTTGAGTGAAAAAGGTTTAGATCTTGTGAGTTTATTTTGTGTTTTATGTCTAAGAATGTTCTTACTTTCTCAAATTAAACATTAACTATATTTTAAAAGAAGTTATTCTTCACCCTTCACCCACCACTTTCTTACATTTCAAACCTCAACATTTAGTTGCTCAAAATTATTAAAGAAATTTAAGTTATTATCTATGTTTATACTAAGAAAATTCCCCTTTTTTTTTATTAATTCATATTAAAAGTCAACGACTTGATTTAAGTTTTGGTTGACTTTAACTTAGACTAAGTTTAACTTAGACTAAGTCTGATTAAAGTTATAAAAATTTATATTATAATCTTTCGAAAACAAAAAAAATAAAAATAAATAAAAGATGGATTTGCTTAAGGTTTACTCAAAATCTTGCTTCTCATAGATTTATTCAAGTATGAAAGTAATATGTTATTGTATTATTTCTTTTCAAATTTTGGATATTGTATTATTTCCTTTGTTTAAGGTTTGGTATTTTTTAAAGTTTTCACTAGTTATTTAACAACAATGTCAGGGCTGTTGATCCCCCCCCCCCCTCCCCTCGACAAAAATCCTGGATCCATCACTGTCCAAAATAATGGATAAATTTCGTTATTATATAAAACCACCATTAATTTCCCTAACAATAACTCAAAAATACAGGTTTAAATTCATTTTGATCAATATTCAAAAAGAAATTTATTTTTAATCGTAAATCTTTTTGAGATTTTGATGATATTTTGAAAAGGAATGTGTATTTTTAGTTTAATAAAAAAAAATTGAGAGAAAAGTTTAATTATATAATCAACTAATTACAAAATGTAACACAGATGATATATATTTAATTACGTATACAATCAACGAATCATAAGACATCATATTAATGTATAGTGATGTTATGAGGAAAACTCTGTGTGATTAAGGTAACTATTTGCATTTAAACATGTACTCCATGAAAATTAAGTAATAACATAAACTCATTGTGGATCATGCATGCATTAAAATATGTACCACCTAAATTCAAAAAATTAAACATGTAAAACGAGCATTATCATAATTTGTAAAAAGTGTTTTCAAATATATTAATCTGAAAAAAAAAGAGTATAGTTTCTTATAGATCATGATATAACAAATTGATTTTTTTACTTTAGTTTTTTATACTATCTAACCACTTATAATTTAAGGACTATATTACACTTATAATCAAATTTCACAATTTGTCTTTCACAACTCTTAGGTGATAGCTCCTTGTTTTTTACTTTTAATTTTTCAAAATTCAAAAGCAAAAAATTGGAACTGCGACCTAAGAGTTTGTGAAAGAGTTTGACTCTTAATTACCTTTTAGTTCCTAGGCTTTATTTTGGGCTTACAATTTTAAATTTCATTGTGAATTGACATTTTAAAAATAAAATAAAATAAAAGAGTGTTGACATATTATTTTAAATGTATATTATATACATCTAGGAGTTGAAAATTTTAAATGATACCATTGTTTGATATTGCCTTTTCTCAATTGAATTCCTTACTCTACCAATTGCTCTTGCAGTGGCTCCATCTCTTTTGTGATTTTGAAGTACTGTACTTTGTAAGTGAATTAGACAAAAAGAAAAAAAATGAGAGAAATTCCATTAGCAAGAATAATTTTGACATTAATGTGAAAATATTTTATAACAAGACTAATTATAAAATTAATGGGATTAAATTCATACAATAACTCTATTTTCTTTCTTCTGTAGGCATATTTTTCTCTTAATAGTGTTAAATTTTTAGATAATTGTTTTCAATTGATACATCTTTATATAGGTTTTTCTCCTTTGCATACCACCATATGAGATAAAATGATAATGTTAGAATATATATGACTTAGGATGAAAATTTCAATTATAAAGATTAAAAGATATAAAAAGACATTAGTTAAAAGATGAAAATTTGAGAAGTTTAATATTTTTCATTTAATTTTATATAAAGGTATAAAACATATGGACCGCTAATTTGACCGTATAAAAATAATAATGTTTTAATTTTAAACAACAAAATAAAGTAAATGGGAAAAAAAAAAAAAAACCATATATTTATTTCAACAACTTGATTATTTTATTACAGGGAAATTCAACCAAACATTTGTATGTACCAAAGCTAGTTGGAGGTCAGCTTCAACCAAACATTTGTATGTACCAAAGCTAGTTGGAGGTCAGCTTCAAGATTAGCATAATTAATAGCGTCGTAAACTCTACGTAACGATGAAGGACGCTCAGGAGAAGCGACCTGTATTGGTAAGACATCACGTGCAATCTTAGCCAGTGTTGGATAGGTTCGGGATTCGACACGCCACCAATCTAATATATTAAATGCTTCACCTGGAGGACATTTAGAATCTTTCAAATAGCGGTCCAGTTCTGATTCTGATGTAACAATATTATTATCAGTGCTCCCTGCATATTTATTGTAAATATTTGTGACATCATCAATGATTTTAAGGTATTCATTTGCATCGTTACCATAAACCTTTTCGTAAAAATGTTTCACAATATCCATTTTGAACCGCGGATCCAAAATTACTGCTATCACTAAAACCAAATTAGAATTGTTCCAATATTCCTCCAATCGTTCTCGCCACTCTGATGCAAAGCCGAAAATGTAATTATCATACCTTTCTCCCAACTCAACCAATTTCAACATAATGTCACTAAAAACTGGGAAATACACATTTGCGGTTTTATTTGTAAATTCGAGGTAACTATTCAAACCATTTAACACTTTCCAAACGTTGCATATCAAAGTTACCTCATCCCACTCATTTTCTATAAAATTTATATACTTGAAATCAGGATCTATATCCTTCAGTTCACTAAATGCTTCTTTACATCCCAGAATCCACTCAAGCATAATAAATCCGTCATTACATGCCCATAACGACTCAAAATCATGGTCGAACCACCAATATGAAGGAACATTTGAGGAAGTTACTGTTTTGCCCTTAAACAAAGCTTTTTCTGCCGCATCTTGAAACTTATTTACATTTGATGACGTCCTGCAGTAATCGTAAATCTTACATGCTTTATCTGAAATATAACTTTCCCTAACCTCCATACCTAATCCATATTGCAAAAAACTAATTGAAAAAAAATTCCGAATGACAGGAAATGAAGCTCGTTCATTCAACCAGCTGTTAATATCCTCGATAATTTTCCCACATTCAGGAGTAAATACTGAATCTCCTCCCATAGAGCATACTTTTTTGTCTATGTTCCAATCCTCAAGGCAAAACTTCAGACGTTCAACTTCATAGATTTGATCTTCCTCAAGTTCAATTTCATCGTTATCTTCCCGTCCATCCAACCAAAAATACACCATTTTCAATTCCCAACTATCATCGATAAACGAGGTTGTTAGGAGCCATAAGTATTCAATCTTCCGAATTGTTACATTAAAACGACATGAGAGTTTATGGAGGCACCCTCGAAGCTTATCCTTCTCTTGCTCGTAAACATTAAGTATATCACCCTTTATGCTGTTTAGGCCATACTTAATAATTTTTAGCACCAAATCAGAACCATTCGATTCTGGATCTATCAGACTTTTCTCTTTTTCTCTATTTACAACTCCAACTGGATTTCTCAAACCTCGGCAACTTTTTAAATGATTGTTGAGATGTGTGGTTCCACTCTTACTTGAACCTACAAAGTCTTTCTTACAGTGTTTACATTCAGCCCGTTCCTCGCCATCATCTTTTTTATACTTTGTGAAGTGGTACCAAACCTTTGATTTCAGCTTTCTTTTTTTAGCACTTGACGTGTTCTCTTGATTTGGAGTAGGTCCAACATAGGCATTTTGTTCTCTTGTTGGAGAGATTTCCTAGTAATATACAAGCAACTCAATCACCTTATAATAAGCAATAAAACTAAACAAATTACATAAGATTTATAATAATCATATTAAAGGCAACCAAGTCAACTTATATAGTTTGCTAGCAAGGATGGAGACATTGGCCAAGCATTCCAAGGATTACTAGATATATGTTTTTCTTTATCAGTTGAGGCATGTATATGGTAAGACACATAACTGTACTAAAACTAAACAAATTACATAAGATTTATCTGACTTTAATTTCTTTCATACATTCAATATAAAGAGAGAGAAAAGGAACCTGTCCACGTTGCATATCTGTTCCATTGACATCGGAAGATACAGGTACTTCTCCCAGTTGTGCTAAAGATTCAATCTCCTTCACATATTTTCAAGGAGAAAAAAGAAAGAAACTTTGTCATTTTGGATTGGACAAGCAGAGTATTCACTGTAAAAAATAAACATGGAAGTCTTTTTTCTCATGGGCTAATTAAAGTCCCATTAGTATAAAATCCCCTTAACCACTTCATTAATGTAATTTAAATATTTTCTTGAATTAAAAAATATAATAAATTACTTTTAAAGAAGGCTATTTAACATCATTCAACTAAATATTTACTCTTATTTTTTGGAATACGTATTTATAAGTATTCTTGAAAGTAATATCATTTCCCAATAGAATATTCTAAATTATTTTCTATGTAAGTGTTAGTTAAAATATAATAAAATATTTTTCTCACTGAAATACTCTGAAAATGAAAAAATAAAAGAAACGGAGAAGCATATTTCATTCCCTTCTATTAAATTTTCTCCTTTCTAATTTTTTTTTTTTCAATACTATAAATGAGATTTTACAAAAGGAAATACACTATTGTAAGTGTAAACACAGTAACAATAATTTGCATTATTATATATTATTTTAAATAATAAAGTCATCTAGTATGCAGCACATGGATTAGGATATAAAACAAGAGTAATGCTACACTTACACCACTTTTTTATACTATTTTTATTACATCATGATGTGATATATACCACAACTACACAAATTCTATTATAATATTAAAAATTTAAAATAATTAAAAATTTGTGTGATTGTGACATATGTCACATCATGATGTAATGAAAATTGTGTAAAAGAATGATTTAGGAATATCATTATCCATAAAACAATACTGAAATTTTCTTTCCAAGCATAAGTTGTCCTTGGACCATCCCCGGTCAGTGCTTTGCACTTGTACTCAAAGCCCGTGATTAATAGATATGACTAGGGGAATAGAATTTTGATCTATAACAGGTAAGAACACTTGTGTGAAATACTGGCATTTTGCTCTTCAGATTTGAAGAATTTTAGCTCAATCTGAGGACCCCAATGCTAATATTTGAAAGAAATGTACTTGAATAGAAAACCAGAACCACAAGACCCAATTTTTCTTTCCAAAATTCAGATAAACTTGTTTCTGTAATATGAAATGCAGAGACGTTTTATTGTGATGATAAGAAGATCCAGTTATTAATAGGGACGTACCATACAACGTAAGTATGTATGGTTACCTGGACTACTTGTCGTTGAAGGGATTGAAGATATGCCATGATTTCTTGAACCCTTCCAGCACTTTCTGGGGTCAAGTTGTCCTTGTACCGTTTTACTAAATCTTTTAAACAATCCATTCCCTCACTTATTTTCAACTGTCCCACCTGCATACATTAGTAAATTACATTACAGAGACATCAGAGAGATAAAATTTTGTGGAGAAGTGGAGATTGAAATCGATTTAACATGAATGAGTAAACAAATACTTACTTGAAAACAAAAATTAGGATCAGATCCAATGGATATCGCTTCCATCTCTTTCCTTACAAATGAGACTATTAAATCAATATGCAAGTTTTTGAGCGATGAAATTTGAGCAATCCTTCAGGATAAAGATGATCAAAGACAGATGAGCAAAGAGAAGTAGCAGTAGGGATCACTAAAGAGCTTGTAATAAGTTATCGATATTCTTGAGGATGGATTTTCTCACTAAGACCAGGCAACTATATAAAGCCAAAAGAGTTAACCAATCCAGCATGAGTTCTGTAACCGAAGTAAGCGTTAAACTAAGAAGTGATAAAGTTAGGTACAGTCATATTACTCGCTTGATTTCATTTACGAACAAGATACTCGCTCCAACTGTCAAACAGCTGTCCTTCCTAATAGGTGTCGCATAAAAGTCGCGAGTTTGAGAGTTTGATACGAGGTAGAGAGAGTTCTAAGGTAGCAGTCAAAATGAAAAAGAAGAAGGTGGAATTGTGGAAAAGGCGAGAGGGACACGCTGCAGTGGTTGGTTCAGCGTACGACCGATAGAATAAACAACATCGGCGTTGGGGCCCAGACAGGAGTTTGAGTTGGACCACGTGGAAGTTTCGTCTTACAGAAGAAGGTTCTGAAGGAGTGGTGGTGGTTGGGTTTTGATTTTTCATGCACCTCGGGGGTGGTTGGGTTTAGATTTTTCTTGCGCGTTGGTGGTGGTCCAGGTCCACACGTTTTTTCTTTTTCTTCACCTGCAAGCAAAGAAAAATTGAAAGGTTGTATTTAAATTAAAAAGGATAGAGTTATCGAAAATTATGCATTGAATTTATATATCGAATAATATAATAAAATTTTGATCGTTGATTAATATTATTTTATAATAAATTAATGGTCAGGATTTTATTATGTCATTCGATGCACAAATTCGGTAACTGTAGCATTGCTCTATTTAAATTGGTTAACATTTTTTTACAATTTTCTTTTATAAATATTAATATAATAGTTGGTTATTAGTTAATTTATATTTGAATAGATAAAATTTATTATAAATTGGTCAATTACGAACTGATACATTATATTTGTAAAAAAAAATTAGTGAAAAGGATTTGTGAGTATAATTTTACTAAAATTGAAATCATTTAATATTGTCACAAATAGAAAACTTTCAATTATTTAAAAAAATTAACCCAACTTAAGTGAGATTTACTATTCATCAAAACACTATTTTGACCAAGTAACTAACTTATTCGATGATATTCTGTCTAGCTTTTTAAGTGTAAATCTCAACTCATTTTTATTCAATATGCATTGGATCATAACAATTTACGGTTACATCGGTTAAAATATAAAACTAAGATCTCAATAAGTTTAATATAATAGTTAAAAATAAATAAAATAAATAATACTATATTAAATATGGGGCAGAATCTAATATTTTAAAAGTTGATGTTGTGACAATGAAATTCATTGCCATGACTCATAAATTTGTACTTCAATTTAAATCATTTAAAAGTATCATAATAATGAACGAAAAATAATCCTAAATCATTTAAATATGAGCAATGTTAATTTTATAAAAACATATAAAAAGGGGTATATAAAGGTAATCTCTATTATTGATTTTTATGATTTTTTTTTTTCTTTTTATTGATGTCACTTTGTAACTCCATTCATACAAGGTTTTGTATGGGTAAGATTTTTGTTTTTTAAGTATTTAATTTCGTACAGCCCACATTATATGAGAAAACAAAGTTTGAAACAAAGCATAAACTTTGCATGGGACCCTCTATCATTACGAATGTATATTTGCTTGGTGTGAACAATTGAATTTTATGATAAAAGAATTATTATTTTTTCCTCTTCTCTTGTGGTGATTGTTTGTTACTGTTACTTCTTCAATCACTTTCTTCAAATTTTAACCGGGTTTGTCAAGTGGATTGTGTCTCTCTTGTCAAAGGGTTAAAATTAACCATATCAGAATGGGGTCTAAAAGAGGTCTTCATATATGACATTGTTATCAATTCTCTGATAAAACATAAGACATAAATAATAATAAATCCTTTGTCATTTTATCATAAATAATTTTATAAATATTATATTGCTGCTGATTCATATATAGTTGGAAACTACACAGAAACAAGGGAAGCCAACTATGGAGCAGTTTTCACAATGACATCCTTCAGGTTTGTTGCAATCCTTGAGTGTGTATATAGGAACTAGGGTCAGTGAGTGGTTGTTTCCTTGCACTTTCCTTGTTTTTCTTTTACCTTTGTCAGTCAAAAAGATAAAGAAGGTGAGGTGGTGGTTGGATTTCATTATCCGAATTTTTTTATTTGCGGGTTGGTGGTGGTCAACACGTCAGTCAGAAAGTTAAAAAAGCAAAGAAAAATTGAATTAAAATTTAAATTTGTATGAAAAGAAATTATATATATATATATATTGTCGATGATAATATTAATTTTTGGTAGTGTGAAGACAAAGTTTGAAAGAAAGCATTAACTTTTCATTTGAGATGGAATCTCAATCCAGTATTTGTCATTATGAATGTACATTTGCTTGGTGTGAACACTTGACTTTTAACATATAGAATTATCATTTTTTTTCTAGGCCTCTCTTGTGGTGAGTGTTACTCTTACTTCTTTCAATCATACTTTAGGGAGATTAATGTCATTTGACTCCTAATTCGATTCAATCAAAACTAAGCGACAGCTATTAT